TGTGGAGCTCACAGATCCAGGCTTTGTCCATCGCTGTGGGAACTGTGAAGCTCAAACAGCTGTTCACATCACATCCGCCGTCAAAGATGGAGAGCAATGAATGTATGCTCGCTCGCCCACTTGCTTGCCTGAGCTCATCTGATTTTCTCTATTCCCTGCTTAGGGAATAGCATCACCCACAATGGGCTGGGTCTTTTCACATCAATTAACTTAATAAAGACAATCCCAGGCTGGCATGCCCTTAGTCCAACCCAACGTAGAGAATCCCTCATGGAGACTCTATGCCCAGGTGATTCTACAGTCGAGTTGACACCATCACAGAACCTGTGAACCAGCGCTTAAGGTGGTCCTCTGATTTTCATACCCAAACACCTGCTCACCCATATCCACGCATGCAGCTATGAATGTGCACACACACATGAGTATACCCAGCAGAAAATAAGAGGTAAATGAATTTTAGCACTGTGGGAAGAGGGCTTCTGAATCTCAAAACACAGAAAGCCGTTGTCCTGGGATGTCTTGCTATTGTGTACATATGGACCTGCTTCTGGTTGTGAGCTTGTCTTCTGTCCCACACCATGTTCACATGATGTAGTAAGAGGTACAGTCTGCTTGTCGTCCTGGCCACCAGGCTAACTTATACCCAAAATAATCACACAGAAACTTTATTCATTTAAAAACTGCCTAGCCCATTAGTTTTAGCCTCTTATTGACTAACTCTCACATCTTGATTCAACCCATTTCTAATAATCTGTATGTCACCACGAGGTCATGGCTTTCTGGGAAGATTTTAACCTATGTCCATCTCAGGCAGGAGATTCATGGTGTCTGCCACACTGCCCTTCTTCCCAGCATTCTGTTCTATCTACTCCGCCTACGTAATTTCTGCCCTATCAAAAGGCCAAGGCAGTTTCTTTAATAGCCAATGAAAGCAACACAAATACAGAAGGACCTCCTACACCAACATGACAAGTAGAAAACCATTTGTATTCCATACACTGTGTAAGCTCACACTGCAGGCACAGGTGTCTTGGACACAGAGTTAGAGAGCAAAGGCCTGGGGGGGAATGGGAGCTAAGGATTTGGTTGGAAATAATATCTGTGCTTTGTCCTATAGAACCTGGCTCCCCTTGCAACTTGGGACATGGAGCAAGAAGTGAAACATGAGAAGGTGATAGGCAGAGGCCTGTGTTAGCTTTGGATGACTTGTGACCAAGACACCAGACTGAAACACCTTGAAGAAAAGGGTTTCCTTCGGCTTGCTGCCTCAACGCTTCAGTCTAACACAGTGGAGAAGACGTGGCAGAGTGACTCAGTCCACAATGTCAGGAGCACACAGCACTGGTTGCTCACATGGCAGCAGGCCAGGAGACAGAGAGAGTCTGTGCTACACCCACTTCTCCTGGGGTGACGTCTAGTCACCACCCCGGATGGGCACCAGGGACAGACCAAAGTACTGTTTCATCCAAGTCCAACCAGAGAATTTATGAGTTTATTGGACTTGCTTACCATGATGAGTGAGAGTTTCCATACAGAAGTGTGAGTGACCCCAAAACATCACCACAGAGTCCCACCTCATCATTGATGGCCACTGAATGGAAGTTGCATCATAGAAGCCCCCTTTCAATCACGTTTCCACTTCCTGTAACTGCTAGCATCTCCCTGCAGCAAGAGGGACTCTCAGGTGAGGATGTATAGACCTCCTTTCATCCACCCCATAGGGAATGTCAACAGCTCTATTACCATTACATAGACCTGACTAGCACTGGTATTTACTATCATGGGGAACATGCCTTCCAAAAGTGAGTCTGTAAGGGGCCAATTAGACTCAAACCTCAATAGGACTTAAAACAGACAGTCCAGGGTTTGCGCCTGAGTTTTCTGGTGAGTCAGGGAATGAGGCAGACACAGTAATTATCCTTATTTCAGTGACTCCCCTGACAAGGATCTACATTTCTGTGCCAAGGCACATATCAAGAAAGAGACGGTACGTGAAGCTGTGGTTTGGTGACACATTCCTTTCATCCAGGCACTTGGGAGGCAGGGACAGGTGGATCTCTGTCAGTTTGAAGCCAGCCTAGTCTACAGAGTGAGCCCCAGGACAGCCAGGGCTACATAGAGGGACCTTGACTCAAAAACAATACCACCCAAAGAACACCGGTGATGAAAAATATGGTACACAAACACTCCAGCTCTATGCAGGTTTATCATGGATAATTGCAGAGGGGTAGCCCCCAAACTCAGTCTCTCCAGGCAAAATATACTTAAGGGCCAGTGAGATAGTTCTGCAGGCAACGGCACTTGAGAACAAGCCCAAGGACCCGAGTTTGAGCCCTGGGAGCCACCTATGGAAAGAGAGAAACAACTCAGCGTTGTCCTCTGACCTCCACTTGAACACAGTTGCATGTATTCCCCACAATCACCCCACACAAACAAATAAACAAAAACAAAAATATGGTTTTTTGATTCAAGAAAATATTTTAAAGAGGTTCCAATTTTTTAAAGAAGAGAGGAAGGCAGGAAGGAAGAAGGAAGAAAAGAAGGAAGACCTCTCCTAATCCCTGCAGGATCTTCTGTAATACATCCCTTTGCATTTTCTTCTGTCCTGAGACAGGGGAGGGGGCTCAGAAGCAGATCCTGACACAAAGATCTGGGGGGCAAGGACTGGAGCTAACTCAGTCAGTGTGGTGATTGCCACATAGCCATGAAGACCTGAGCTTGACCAACAGAATCCACATAAAAGTTCAGCACTGGGAAGCATGCTTGCAATCCCAGTGCTGGGGCGGAGGTGGAAATAGGAAGAGCCCTTGGGCTCATTGGCCAGCCAGCCTCAGCCAGTCAGTAAGTCTAGGGTCAGTGAGAGACCCTGACTCAAACAACAAGGTGGAGAGCAATTGGCAAAGACATCTGATGTCAATATTTGTCCTCTGCACACTTGCACAACCCACAAGATGAACATCTTCAGCCTACACACACATACACACACACACACACACACACACACACACATCTGGGGGCAAGTTGTACCATAGGAGATGGTCCCAGTAATCCCCAGTTCAGGAGAGTGACAACGTGAACCTGGAAATGGATTCAGTGGGTAAAGTTCATGAATGAGTGGCCGTATCGGGGTTCCCTACAGAAACAGACTGATTACAGACCTATATGAATACATATATTATATAAGGGGATTTGTTTGGTTGGCTGACCCAACTGAAAACTGGTCAATGAACAATGGCTACCCTAGGATTTATTGAATCCAAGAAGCCAGAAACCTCAAAACAAGGTGGCCCATGTGCAGCTCTACTCCAAGGCTGAAAACCTGGGACTCCCTGGCAAGTCACTCGTGTTGAGTCCACAGTAAAAGGCTAAGAAGTGGGATCCTGATGTCCACACTGATGGTAACAACAGTAAGGGATTCACTCAAATGGAGCTGGCATGTGCCAACTGACTTCCTCTTACTCCACTTTTTATTCCCTCTGGGTCCCCAGGCTATTGGAATGGTGTCATGGTGTCTCAGTCAGTCCTGTTCCATGGGTCAATCATTTCTGTAAATGCTCCTGGACACCCTCCCAGAGCTGTACCTTCCGTCCAAGACACCCCTCAATTCAGTCAAATTGACTATGCAGATGAACTGTCTAGGCCTGAGGAAATGGTCAATAGCATCTGCAGCACATCTGTCCAGGACCTTCCGGCTTTCAGAGCTTCCATTGAAAAGTCAGGAGGAATTATGATGGGTCTGCCATTATATGTTACTGGGCCTTTTTCCTTTGCAGCTCTTAATTTTCGTTTTTTATTCTATATGTTTAGTATGTTTAGTGTTTTGAATATTATGTGGTTAAGGAACTTTTTTTTGGTCCAGTCTATTAGTGTTCTGTAAGCTTCTTGTACCTTCATAGGGATATACTTCTTTAGGTTGGGAAAGTTTTCTTCTATAATTTTGTTGAATAAATTTTCTATGCCTTTGAGTTGGGCTTCTTCTTTTTTTTTTTTCCCTATTTGTCTTAGGTTTGGTCTTTTCATGGTATCCCAAATTTCCTGAATGCTTTGGGTTAAGAATTTGTTGGATTTAATGTTTTCTTTGACAGATGAATCTATTTCCTCTATTGTATCTTCAATTCCTGAGATTCTCTCTTCCATCTCTTATTTTCTGTTGGTTATGCTTGCTTCTGTAGCACCTGTTTGTTTACCCAGCTTTTTCATTTCCGGAATTCTCTCAGATTATGTTTTCTTTATTGCCTCTATTTCAATTTTCAAGTCTTGAACGGTTTGCTTCAACAAGACAGAAAAAAAAACCAAGATATTCCATGACAAAACCAAATTTACCAATACCTATTCACAAATCCAGCCTTACAGAAACACTACAAGGAAAGCAATGACCCAAGGAAGTTAGCTGCACCCAAGAAAACATAGGCAACAGATAACCTCACACCAGTAAACCCCAAAGAAGGGAAACACATAAACACTACCACTGAAAAATAACAGTAATTAACAACCACTGGTCATTAATGTCTCTTAATATTAATGAATTAAATTCACCTATATAATAACACAGGCTAACAGAATGATTACAAAAACAGGATCCATCCTTCTACTGCATGTAAGAAACATACCTCAAGCTCAAAGGCAGACATTACCCCAGAGTACAGGATTGGGAAAAGATTTTCCAATCAAATGAATCTAAAAACCAAAAAAGATAGCTATCCTAATATCTAACAAAATAGACTTCAAACTGAAAACAATCAAAAGAGATGGAGAAGGTCATTTCATATTCATCAGAGGAAAAAAATTAATCAAGATGAAGTCTCAATTCTGAACATCTATGCCCCTAATACAAGAGCATCCACATATGTAAAAGAAACATTACTAAAGCTTAAGTCGCACATCAAACCCCACACACAAATAGTAGGAGGCTTCAACACCCAACTCTCACCAATAGACAGCTCTGTCAGACAGAAAGTTAACAGAGAAATAAGAGAACTAATAGACGTTATGATTCAAATGGACTTAACAGACATCTACAGAACATTTCACCCAAACACAAAAGAATACACTTTCTTCTCAGCACCTCATAGAACCTTCTCTAAAACTGACCACATACTCAGAAATAAAGTAAACCTCAACAGTTAAAAAACAAAAACAAAAACAAATGGAATAACCTCCTGTATCTTCTCAGGTCACCATGGTTTAATGTTAGAATTCAACAACAACACTAATTGCAGAAAGTCTACAAACTCATGGAAATTGAACAAGGCTCAGTTGAATCATCCCTGGGTCAAGGAAAAAATAAAGAAAGAAATTAAAGACTTCCTAGAATTCAATGAAAATGAATGCATAATATACCTAGACCTATGGGACACTATGAAAGCAGTGCTAAGAGGAAAGTTCATAGCATTAAGTCAACATGTAGAAAAATGCAAATAGATCCCTATATATCCCCATGCACAAAAGTCAAGTTCAGATGGATCAAAGACCTCAACATAAATCCAGCCACACTGAACCTCATAGAAGAGAAAGTGGCAAGTAGCCTTGAATGCATGGGCAGAGAAGACCACTTTATAAATATAACCCCAGTAGCACAGACACTGAGAGAAACAATCAATAACTCCTGAAACTGCAAAGCTTCTGTAAGACAAAGGACACAGTCAATAAGACAAAATGACTGCCAATTGAATGGAAAAAGATCTTAACCAACCCCACATCAGACAGAGGACTGATCTCTAAAATATATAAAGAATTCAAGAAACTAGACATCAAAATACAAAATAATCCAATTAAAAAAATGGGGTACAGGTCTAAACAAAGAGTTCTCAGCAGAAGAATCTAAAATGGTCAAAAGACACTTAAGGAATTGGTCAACATCCTTAGCCATCAGAGAAATGCAAATCAAAATGATTCTGAGATATCATCTTACACCAGTCAGAATGGCCAAGATCAAAAACACTAATGACAGCTTATGCTGGAAAGGATGTGGAGTAAGGGGAACACTCCTCCATTGCTGGTGGGATTGAAAACTGGTACAATCATTTCAGTATAAAGGTTTCTCAGAAAATTGGGAATCAATCTCCCTCAAGACCCAACAGTACCACTCTTGGGCATATACCCAAAGGATGTTCAATCGTACTACAAGGACATTTGTTCAACTATTGCCCGAACCTGGAAACAACCTAGATGCCCCTCAGCTGAAGAATGAATAAAGAAAATGTGTTACATTTACACAATGGAGTACAACTCAGCAGTATAAAACAATGACATCTTAAAATTTGCAGACAAATGAATGGAACTAGAAAGAAACATCATGAGTGAGGTAACCTAGATCCAGAAAGACAAACAAGGTGTGTACTCACACATAAATAGGTACCAGACATAGAGCAAAGGACAGCCAGCCTATAGTCCATGACCCCAGAGAAGCGAGGAAACAAGGAACACCCTAAGAGAGGCATACATGGATCTCCCTGGGAAGAAGAAATAGACAAGGTCTCCTGAGAGAATTGGGAGTGCTGGGGTGGGGGGAAAGAATGTGGAAGGGGAGGGGGAAGGGAGAAGGCAAGTGGGGAGGAGAACATGAGGGAATGGGATGGTTGAGATGGGGGAAGGATAGAGAGAAAGCAAGAAAAGAGATATCTTAATTGAGGGAGTCATTATGAACCTAGTGAAAAACCTGGCACTAAGGAAATTCCCTGGAATCCACAAGGATGACCCCAGCTAAGACCCTAAGCAATAGTGGAGAGTGCCAGAAGTGGCCTTCCCCTGTAATCAGATTAATGACTACCTTAATTGTCACCATAGAACCTTCATTCAGTAACTGATGAAAGCAGATACAGAGATCTACAGCTAACACAGGGACAAGCTCCTAGAGTCTAGTCATAGAGAGGGACAAGCAACAATATGAACAAAGGAGTCAAGACCATGATGGGGATACCCACAGAAACAGCTGACCTAAGTTAGTGGGAGTTCACTGACTTTGGACTAACAACAGGGGAACCTGTATCAGCCCAAACTAGGCCCTCTGAATGTAAGTGACAGTTGTGTGGCTGGGGCAGTCTGTGGGGCCACTGGTAGTGGGACCAGATTTATCCCTAGTGCTTGAACTGGCTTTTTGAAGCCCATTCTTTTTGGAGGGATACCTTGCTCAGCCTAGATATAGGGGGAGTGCCTTGGTCCTACCTCAAAGTGATGTGCCAGGCTTTGTTGACTCCCCGTGGGAAGCCTTACCCTCTCTGAGGAATGGATGGGGGTGGGGTGGATGGAAGGTGGGGGGAATGAGAGGAAGGGAGGGAGAGGGAACTGGGATGGGAGTGTAAAATGAGAAAAGATAGTTTTAAAAATAAAGTACAAAAATAAGGTGGAAGGCCATTGAGATGGCTCACAGTAGGTAGGCAAACATACTGTTCGCAAGTGTGATAGTCTGAGTCTAATCTGCTGGACCACATAGTTGAGGGAGGAAATTGATTCCCATAAGTTGTCCTTCATTCTCCACACCTATGTCCTCCTCACACACATAATTAATGATAGATAGATAGATAGATGATATTTAGATAGATAGATAGATAGATAGATAGATAGATAGATAGATATACAGACAGATAGATGATGGATAGATGATTATACAGACAGATAGATGATGGATAGATGATATTTAGATAGATAGATAGATAGATAGATAGATAGATAGATAGATAGATAGATAGATA